AAAAGAGATATGAGTGAAATTAGTATTGACCACTTTCCTAGAAAACTGAATTTTGAGCCCAGTGTCCTATTCAATATTTTTCAATATTAATTCCCCACTTTTCAGAACTATTCCAGTAAAACATCATTGTCTGCTTGTAGATTATCAAACATAAACATTTCACTGTAGAAGAAAAACAATGTTACTTACCTTAGGATTGATTATAAAGAAGGTTTTCACGTTATGTTCCTTGAGATATGGATCCCTTGCATCACCATCCCCTTCTTCCACTTTGTACGCTCCATTCAAGTGTGCCAACGTGACTGAAGTAATGTGAACACGGCTGAAATTATGGTTTATTTTAAAGTGACCATTATACAACATTAAGAAAGTAGCATTTATTTTCCTTTTAGTTATAGCTGAGAATTATTTCCTCAAGATTTAACTACATAACTACATAAGGAATGAGTAATAAGTAATGGAAATACAGTACTCAAACTGAGATTTGATTCCAATGATTAGGCTGTAACTAAGACATGCCCCTCTATGTTTCAGTGGTGGAAGCATTTGAGTGGATCCCTTATGGGACATACAATGCTGGCTTGTTAAGGAAAAGACTCAGAAACTTTCATCATGTATATCATTTTTAAAGTGGTAAGAATGTGATTCCCCCGTTTGTAATTTGACCATCAGACCCCAGCATCAGACCCTCATCTTGATGAAAGTCAAGCCCACCTTTAACCTGCATCTCAGAAAATATGATTTTTAATATTGTAAATGCTTGCTGAACATGCTAAATTGTGGCCATTGAGACACCAATAAAGAATAGTTTCTCTATTTAATGAAACATACATACAGCATACAGTGCCTTCAAGCACTATACAGCACTATTCAGTTTCAATAAATGGAAGAAATTTATGTTTGCAGTAGTTCAATTTCAATATACTAAGTGTGTAGTATTTTTGGATTGATTAATATGTGCAAGCATGAACATACTGTAATTGTATAGTGCCCTGTTTTAAGACCAAGTAACACCATAATAATCTAAAATTATCGACATGATTATTCTATATATATGAAATAATCAAAATACATATAAATTAAATAATGTTCTTACCCTGGAATTCCTCCAGCTTCCATATGATTGGCCAATGTTACATCATGTGACCATACATCATATTGCCATTTTTGCAGTCCAATCACACCACAAAGGACATTCCCTCTCACATGAGGGTGAGAGTATAACTATAGTTGAGGTCAACGTAGAGAGTGAAAGGATAATAACTCTTTGTTAAGTACCTTCTACAAGTTGTAATGAGAAAATTTTCAGTTTATGGTATATTAAACATTATCCGTTGGGATCTGTAAAATTATTTATGTTTGTTAAACTTTATTACTTTGATAAAATCGGTAAAATTCAGCTGATTTAATGTTTCTCTGATTAATATAAACATTTAAAGATATAAATATTTAAAGTGATTCATGCATGTATATATACCTATGATGCTAATCAATTCTGGTGATTAGCAAAACTCAGAAAATAAATAAAAAGCAAGCAGAAAAAAACTGAAGGCAGGTGGTAATAAAAAAAGAAATCTAAACATACCTAGTTTCTACAACACCATTCATGATATCTCCATTTTTGTTTTGTTTTTATACCTTTGTCAACTATCCTTGTTTCCATCACACCCTTCAGCATTCAAACCTTTTGTATCTTTTTTCAGATCTTATCAATTCTGCCCAACCACAACTTTCCTGACCTACCCTTTCTACTCAGTGCATTCACTCTTCCTTCATCTATTTATCTAGCTATTTGATCTTAACTCCTTCTCCCTCTACATCCAAGTCATTTTAATGTACTTCTTTCCTACCAATCATTTGTTTTTATATTCAATTTACATTTATTATCCATTTATTCTTGATCATATCTCTTCTTCTATTACACATACTTCTTAAATACAACAAATGTTCTCTTCTTCCTATATCACATCTCTTATTTATAAGCAAATCCTTAAAACATTGTCATTTCAGTCCTGGTATCAGCAAAAGTCCATTAAGGGTTATCTATTTTAATCTTGATCAAATAACCTGCTTTATATTTTTTCCCTTTATTTCTAACAATCTTAGTCTTTAGTCCACTCAAATAATGTTATAGAATTTGATTTCTTTTCATTATTTCTGCCTCCCTTCTCACAAGATTCTTCAAAACTGTATTAAGACATGAGCCACTTTCTTTTCAAACGTCCAGTGTAACAACTGTTTTGATGTCATTCTTGCAATGTGTCATTTGTAGATCTACTTTCAACTCAGTCTTGACCTTGTCAGGCAAAACTCTTCCATAACTTCTTTTACACACAGTCTCCCCATAAAGGCAGACGTCTGTTTTGACAATATTAAAATTAACTCCTCCTTGTTAAAAAAATATAAATATTTAATATTTTAGCATTGGCCATATTGAAGTATATTTTTGAACAGGTCTCATACATTCTTTTCTTGAAGTCATTCTACTTTTATTAGTTATCCTTTAATTTGCTTCCATTTCCATTTTTTTTGATCATTTCTTGATACTACCAAAATATGGGCTATTCCTTACAGTACAGATAGTCCTCAACTTACGACCACAATAGGGACTAGAATTTCTGTTGCTAAGCAAGGCATTTGTTAAGTGAGTTGCATTCAATTTTACCTTTTTTGTCATGGTTGTTAAATGATTCACTTCAGTTGGTAGGTAAATCATGCATTTGTTAAATGAATCTGGCTTCCCTTAATTAGGAGAAATATTTTTTTCTCCTGAATCACATTGATTCAAAATGTTGCACACAATGTTCACAACAATCATCTCTATTGCTTTATTAACATCATACACTAGATTGTAACATGCTATGACTACCAAACTGTGGATTTTGTAAGCATCCACAAAAATGTGGATATCATTTTCTACTTCTGATATAAATTTTAACTTTCATTCACAAAATACTCTAAAACTTTAGTTCCTTCTACCTATGAATCAGCTCCATCCAGAGACTGGGCTATTTTTATTCAGATCTATTACATTCTTCCCCCTTCTCTATTTCACACACACAGAACATACTCACAGTACTATCTTATGTCTAAGGATATTTACCTATTAATATAGCTGTATTACTATCATCCTTCTTATCTTTTCTACTACCTTCTTTTATTGGTATCATTATTATGATTATCTTGCTTTATTGTATGTATGTACTCTGAGACAAATTTCTTGTGTGTCTAATCACACTTGGCCAATAAAACATTCTATTCTATTTTTTTCTGTCAATTTCTTCATTTATTAATTCATATTGTTTTCTTTTACATTCCAAGTTACAATCTTCCACATGTGAATGTTCATCATGAGATGGGCTAATAGATCTTGATCTTCATCATCCACCATGGCTTTCATTAATTGAGGTTTTCACATAATATTGGGTTTTATCTTTGTGAGCTGCCTGAAGCCATTGACTGTGAGTTGGGTGGTCATGTAATTTTTCTTAAATAAGTAATGCTGTCTATTCAATTTGAGTACTCAATGTCTAACTTGCTAAATTTACATTTAGTTACAGTACTTCCTCGTAGAGACATTAATGAGCTTCCAGAGCTGGTTCATAGATCTGTTGGCACCCTCTATCCTTATTGCTAAACCTTGTTCTGTTTCAGCATTGAGGTGGTGTTTGTCTTTATAGATTTAATGTGGGGTAACCCATGATTGGTAAATTCACCTGGCATTACCAGGTAGAAAAAAATGGTGGGAAAAATAACCACTAATTTCTTTCACTAAGAGAGACAGTTTGGTTTAGTGGTTAAAACACCAGGCTAATAACTGGGAGGCCATGAGTACTAGTCAGTATTAGGCAAGATTTATTCAAATAATATTGCAACAAAATTGTAAATTGTAAATAATGCCAACCTATTAATTTTGCCCTCCAGCATGAAGGAAGAAGTAAAGTTCTATCTATCAGGATACAGCTTATTTAGCATTTCACTATATAATCATTAGGACAGTAGGCTAAAATATGAACACCCCCCCAAACTATTGTTTAATTTGTAATAAATAAGTTGCTGTGAATCTTGGCCCCTGTGCGCCCTTTCCCTCTCTAATTGCCACTTATCACATTCAGGCATAGCAGAGAGCAGGAATAGTGAACCATACAGGACCTACTAGTTACTAAAGAATTTAAGCCTCCAATTGGAAACTAATTAAAATCGAAAAAGGGGCTTCATGGATAAACACCCTGATTAAGATTTGAATTTCTTTTTCTTCTTACCTGCTTTTTGAAAAAGGCATTATTTTATGTTAGTTTGTTTGGCACTATGAAAAAAAAACATTTGGATTTTGAAGGAATAGCAGTGGTTTTCTGAGATTCCAGAGAGGTTGTTTTTTTCCCCCACCCCAGCCCTAACAGGAAAGAATCAGAACTGAACCAGGAGATTCATTTTCTGCATATCCACAATTACTGTTTAAAACACATTCTACCATTTTATTACAGCCTTCCCCCATTTCCTTAGACTAAAAAGAAATAAGGAATACTCACCTTGGAGAGCAGGAATTCCTCTCCCACCCCCAACTCAGATGAGTTTGCCTGCCAAATGATAAATCTGCAGGGAAAAATGAAAGGGAAAAAAAATCCCCTTCTCTCTCCTATCATTTTTTTGTGTGAATCCCTATCTATACTTGAATATTCTGAGCAGCTATTCTCAATAACCTGAACATTAAGATTAGATTGCATTGATAATTTCTAATTGCTTCTTCGGTAGTACCAAGATCATGTTCTCAATAGGAATTCATTTCAGAAAGTTCATGATGGTTACCTTTTAAAATACAAAGGAGGAAATGAGGGAATTAAGTGTCTGTGGAAAAGCAGCAGCATTGCATTTAATTTGTACATTAGCACAAATTAACTTTACACCTAATCCACAGAGTTAAGACAAAACTGTTGATTGCACAACAAACATTTGGAAAGCGTAACATGCTTAATGGGACATTTGAGAGTCTGAGCTTTGCTGATGACTATGTAGGGGGTATCTAGCAATTGTTAACAGCTGTAATTAAGACTGTGGATTTCTTCATAAAGTTAAACAGAAATAACTTCAGAGACAGAGGTGGCCTTTACATCTTATCTCCTGGGCAGAGAATGAGCGTTTTTTCAGTTTTATATCATACATTCATTTAGAAGCTGTTTTATTTACCATGTATTACTTAGAATGTGAGTGACAAGCATTCTTCAGAGGCTTCTAGCCGCCCAGATTCCCCTTGTAGGGGAGATGAGCAGCATAAAAAATAATAAATAATAAACAATAAACAAACAAATAGGAGTGTTGACAGAAGGCAGAGGGATCCATCCTCTTATGCTGCCCTCCATATGCAGGGGCCAATAGGGGAGCTTCCTGTAGTTGTGATTTTTGTTTATTACCGGTGAACTCTACATATTTCAAAGAAGTGTGATCATTCCCACTGCACTGAATGCAGCCAAATTTATAGCAAGTTTTTTTTTCACAGAACACACCCATGCCATGATTTTTTTCCCACATTCCATTTCAAATAAATGTGCCTCCAGAAGGTCAGGGTTTGTTTGAAGTAGCCTTTAAAGTGTTTTTGTTCAATCTATATAATTTTAAATGAGTATGTTTTGTTGTTAAAAGACTGATATTCTCCTGTCTAAAGTCTGCTGCCTTGTCATGTTTTAAGGTTTTATATTTTAAAACTTACACTTTCAGTAACCTTAGGAGTCCCTTTCTGCATTTGAATAAAATACATAACCTTTTAACATTCTTCACTGCCATAATTTCAGAACGGAAAAATTCAAGACCACCCAATCAGATTTGAGTTTAAAATAATACGCTAAAAATTAGAACGTGAGAAAGAGACGTAGAATAAATCTTTCCTACTAAGTTTTGTTTTGTAATTATGAAGGAAAGGAATATTTTATATATTTTAAATATATATAAAATATTTACTAACTTTATGGCTTCACACATATCCAGTCCCATTTTCACACAATTCTTGGCATGATTTTGTAGCGATATTGGAAGGCCGGACACACAGTAGTAGCAGTCTCCTAAGATTTTAATTCTCATACATTCATTTTCCTAAAAAAAAACCAAAAAAAAAAAACCAGGGATGGGGAATCAGTTAGGAGACAGTCAAGGCAGCAACATAAAGCTTATCAGCAAAGCTGCAGAATCTGATGCAACTGATAGTGTCAATTTTATTCCATCTATAAAACACGGACATGACTGGGCCAGAATATTTATAGCTGAAATAAACTCCAGGGCTCTATGCCTCCCCATTTCCAGTGACCTACTTTTCCTGAGTTATGAAATCAGAAGCATGCTCAATGTTGTATCCAAACTCCCAGGGATTTAAAGCCAACGCTCCTTCTTAATGGCACCAAATTAGACAGGGAATAGACTTGAAATTTTAAACTCAGGGTATAGACTTGAAATTTGGGAATAGACTTGAAATTTTAAACTCAGAGTATCTGTTACCATCTCTATTTGCGCACTTGCAGGAATACCGACATTTTCTAAACTATAATACTACATTGTTACATTGCTAATCTCTCTTATGGGATAAAATTAGTCCTTTAAATGAAGTCTGAGCATTACTTTAGTTCATTCAGAACTTCATTGCTCCCTTAGTGGTCCTTGACAGCTCAGTAATGTTTGGGGAGATGCCCAAAAGACAGCTTATTCACCAAAGTTCTTCTTATTCTGCAATTCTCCATAATAAAGAAACCAGGGAAGCAGAGCTGGGCATATCCTGAACTCACTATTCAATGATCAGCTGATGTGGGAATGTACTTGCACACCTAACTGCTGTGTCATGACAAATTCCCATCAAGGGGAAATCTAGGATGCACCAATTCCTCTAAGATACTTGTTTTTTTGCAATGCAACTTTAAATGGGAAAACCCAAATTTTTATACAATTTGAATGAATAATTTTGGTTGTCAGTCTTTACAGACGAGTGGCAGAATAGGCCAGTCAAAGAGGAGGAACCAAACTCTGGAACATATGCTGCACCTACTGTGATTTCTGTGCCAATCAGGATGATAAAGAGTATGAAAACTATTGTTGTTATTCAATAAATTGAGCCTTACAGCAGGGACGCTGACTGAGGAATTCTGGGAGTTAAAGTCCACAAGTCATAAAAGGGCCAAGTTTGAAGACCCCTGCCTTAGAGTAATGAGTGATATTACTCACTCAAAATATTGCCTTGCAACACTGCATTGACACCAGTATATATACTTGCAAATAAATAATGCAAAGTTCAAAGTGAAGAGACATTAAACAGAACAAAGGGGTTTTTCTTCCAGGTCCACAACAAAATATTACTGCATGTAATGCATACATTGTATTTTTTTATTACTTCCAAAATTTTATACTGTTTTGTCCTCATTTTTTCTCCCTCCTTACACTAGGATGTGACAAAACCAACTACTACCAACTAAGCAGCAACTGTATTTCCAGGAAAGCATTTTTGGAGGCTGTGAGGACAGCAGAACCCAGGAAAGACTACACTTTCCTCATGCCATTTTTACCTATTATGATTATAAAAACACAGTGGCAACATTATAGTATTAACCATGAACAAAACTTTCACACATACTTACTTTTGCAATTTGATCAAACTTGCCAAAAAGTTCATTCAGCATATGCACCAGTTCTCCAGGGGAGCAATCACTAGCCAAGCGAGTAAATCCCACAATATCGGCATATAAAATGCTGCACGTAAAAGAATTTAGCATTGTTGATTTTTTTTCCAAGTTAAAAAAACAATATTTTACCTTAACGTTCATTTAAAAGAACCAGGAATGGGGAATGTTCCAAATACCTTATCAGAAACAAACACATTTGGCCACCAACAATTTTTCACAAGGGATTTACAAAGAGCCAATTTACACAGCTATTTTTAGTGGATTAGTCATGTGCGTGGTGATTTTATCCCAGACGTCAAAAACTATTCTAGCAGGCTTCCAGCATTCATCAGGCTTCATCTAGAACTATGCCAGTTAAAGTCTCCCTTCCCTGGCACCTCTAATGGTAATCCTGCAAAGTCTGAAGGCATCTCCATATAGTCATTGCTTCCATTTTCCGAAACTTCAGAAGTAGTTTGAAGGGGAACTGATAGTTGTTTTTATTGTAAAGTTAAACACAAGGGGCAAAAAGCACAATCCCACCTCAGCTGTTACAGTTCCTGTAGTAGCAAAAATCTTCTCACCCCTATTTTACACTAACTGTAGGCCTACCAATCAGGACTGCAAAAATCTGAATGAGCACCAGACTACAACAAAGAATAGTACGGCCACCTAGCTATAAGGAAAAAAATGGAGTGGAATGTGTGTGTATGTATGGAATGAGTTAATAGCCTGGTGTTTGCAACCTTGGAGGCAACTGACAAAACGCATCTCAGTTTTGCCTTGGTTGTTGTTTCCTTGGTTCTGAAAAGGTAACTGCTGGAGGTCTATTGAGGAAGTGCTGCAAAGCTGAGAAGATAAGAGTTCCATTTCCTAGTCCTAAACACAGGAGTTGAAAGGGATGCGTGTCTCCAACTTCCTCCAAAACTATCAACTTTCCAGCAGTTTCAATCTAGTGTATAACTGTGCCAGACATAAATCACACCAGCTTTTCAAATTTGCTAAATGTCACAAGAATGCAGAGGCTTAATGCTATAGAATCCCTATTCTATTGTTTCCCCATTACTTCTACTATGAGCTTGGAATGTGGCTGATACGGGCAAAGCTGATTATTCCATTTATTTCCACTGACAGCTCACCATATCCTAGTGACAGAGACACATTCTAGCTTTGCTCTCTTGAAAATCAGCTGAATTTGGGTTAGTTAATCAAACCTGACTGAAGTCATACCATCAGCTAACTAATTCTTCTTACTTTACGTATCACCCATAAAAGCCATAATTTCAGCCTGCAGGGTGCATTTTAATTCAATATTCCCAACTAAATTCAGTTTTTTCCCAAAAATAAATTTGTTGAAGTTTTACATTTTCACAATGTTACATTTTAATTATCTTATTTATATGCTTTTACATTAGTATCAGAGAAAGAATAGAAAAAAATGAGCTAATTTCGCTTTAGGTTTTACATTAACGAAGAAAATACTAATTTTGTTGCTGCTGCTGCCAATTTATTTATTTATAAAATTTATTGGCCACCCATCTTATCATAGGGTATATTAAAATTAAAGGAGGGTGGGGGTGGGGTGGGGGGAAGTGGGACCAGTTGTTACTTGATCAACCACCTCCACTGTGCTGTTCCTCCATTGGGACCCCAAGGGTTGACCGTCTCGGAATGCTTTCCTATTCTAGTTTTGTCAAGTTCTTGACCGAAGTTTGTTATGGAATGTAACCACACGGAAAACTGTATGTTTAACACTTTCAACAAACATGAAAGGTCGACCGGACGAAACCCAGGAACATTGGAAACTTACTAGAGTCGAAAGTAAAGGTACCGATACACTCGTCCTTCGTCTCTAAGCAGAAGACGTTCCTGGTTTTGAAAATAAAAGAGAAAAAAGTCCAGGCTTCCACTATTTTTAAATAAGAAAAAATTGCTAAGGAAAACCATAATTTCTCCAGGGATGCTTGGGGAAAAACAGTGAGTGGTGTACTATCATTTGTAGGGATGACTAAAGCGTTTGAAAGCGATGCTTCACTAAGCATTTTAGCCAAACTGTTACACCTCTTGAAGCATTAAAGTAGTCACATCCTTTGCAAGTTCATGTGGCTGCTTTAAAGGCTGACTCCAGTTTATTAGTTTATTGATATACTATAGTCATAGACAATATTTCTGCTGGGACTACCAGAGAAGCTGTAGTTGGATACAATCTCAGAAGCAACTATGACAGCCTTGCAACAGCCAAAACTACTTTAATGTTGAGGAATGGCAGATGCTTTGCAAAGCTCTCTTTTTAATGTTTTGCAGGGCCTAATCATTTGTAATCTTTCCTCCATTTTTCTTCTGTAAAAGACAGATAGAGGAAATGTAACCTTCTGTAGAAGATTGATTGGAGGAGTAACTTTGCAAACCTTTCTGCTCTTAATAATTTGGAGGAAAAAGGGGAAGAAAAACAGCCGTACAAGGTAAAGAAAAAGGGTAAGTATAGAGACACACATACACAATAAACTAAACAAAAGTCTCTTTATGTTATCATTCAAAACTTTTGCTTCCAAATAAATTTTCTCCAAAAACAAAACATAAGGAACTTGTCATACAAAAAATGGTTACCGTAAATGAACATAAATAATATTGTATTGCTGAATCGGGATAAGCCCAACTTAATCCAGAATTTTTATTTCTCACAACAGTCAACCTGATGTCTCTGAGGGACTCTCATCATATTCTGTTCTCTATTGTTCCCCTCAACTGGCTGTTGAGACATGCTGCTCCGAAATGCAGGTAACATAGAGGCATTGATAGCCTGTCTAGCATGAATGGATCTAATCTTCTTTTAAAGCCATTCAAATTAATGACATCATCATGTTTTATGGCAATGAATCTCACATTTTAATTCTATATGGAATTAAGCCATGAATGAAAATGGTATGTACAAATGATGTGAGTCCCTCATAGATATCAGCCTTTATAAAAATGGACCCCAAGCAACCATGTAATAGACATCTCACCTGGAGACATCACCATGCACACTTAATACCTCCTTATTCCATTTTTAAAAAACAGATTCAGGGATCAATAACATGCCTTTGCTCTATGGCCATAAATATCTTAGGTTCAGCCTATCTTGCCATTTATTGCATTGGGCTTATTTGAATATTATTTGTGTCTCTTATTCATAAGCAGAACACACACAGTTTTTGTCCAATAAAACAAGGCTTTTCAACCAGTGGTACGGGTACCACGTCTGGTACATTGGCACCTGGCAGGTGGTACATGACCATCCTAGAAAAGTGGTAGCGGGGGAGGGGAATGAGCTGAACTGGTGGCAGCACCGCACAAGCCTGAGCGAGAGATGGCTGGAGCTGCAAGGCTGTCAGGGCTCAGCGGAAGCGCCAGGATTGGTGCTTCTTCGGGGCTGTGAGGGCTCAGCGGAAGCGGCAGGATCAGTGCCAGGCTCCAGCTGGAGCTCAGCGCTGATCCTGGTGCTTCTGAGCCCAGAAGAAGCACCGATCAGCTGGAATGTTGCAGCATCTCCAGGGTCTTGTGATTTATATTCAGATGTTTGGCAACTGATTTATGATTTATTTATGATGGTCACAGTGTCCCAGGGTCATGTGAAGTGACCAAAACCTGCTGCAACCATCCAGCAGATGGGGGGAATAAAAACCAAACACCCCCCCACCCCACCCCAGCTGCCAATCCTCAACAGAAATGCTCACAACAATGAAAACCTTGGACAGGAGGAAGAGCGCCGCCGGGTGAGCAGGCAGGTGTCTTGCTCGGCTGTGGCTTGGGGGGCACTTTTTTCAGTACCACTGTAACTTCGAACAGTCACTAAGCGAACTGTTGTAAGTTGAGGACTACCTGTACTTTATCACTTTTTTCCTTTTTTTTTTTTGGGTCATCAAGTTTTTGACACCTTGCTAGGCGACTGGTGGTACTCGGATGTTGCCATATCCTAAAAGTGATACAATGGGTGAAAAGATTGAAAAGCCCTGCAATAAAAGGCGACACTTGAAAAACTTCCATTCAGGATCATTTAATCACATTGTAAAAGCATTCAATAAGGGATCTGGCCATTAATTCAGGCTACTTAGGGGATGCTGATTGGATTGCATAAAGTTTGAGCAGCACAGATTTGCATACAGATTTGAGCAGCACAGACAGCAATTGGTATATGGATATGACTCTCATCATAATTCCTGGTCCTAGGGAATGCCCCTATTGGGGTTTAAAAGAGTGGTTTTCCTTCTTTGCTTTGTAGCTTTTCTTGCCACAGAAGTGAATTGCTGAAGATACTGAAAACTGTTAGGCTACATGGAAGAGGAGAGAGATCTCTCACTTGGAGAAAGGGAAGCCTCTGCCAAAGCTCTGGGAAAGAAGCTGGTAAAATGTCTCCAATGGTCATGTGTACAGAAACAATACCACTCGTGTTCAATAAAGCCAGTGTAGACTAATGATTACTGTATTACACTAGGTCTAGGAAGACACAGTTCAAGTCCACCCAGAGCCATGGAAGTTCCCCTGGGTGACTTTGGGCCAGACACTCTCTCTCATCACGGTCTATCTTAGACTGTTCTAGGGGAAAAGAGAAAAGAGTGAGGGCCTTGAATGTCTTGAGTCCCTGGACAAAAGGTGAGATTTAAATTGAATCAATGAATAACAGTTCCCTTCAAAACATGCCCCTATTTAAGTATTTGATAAAACATTAAGGGCACCTCCTTCCTCAGAAGTCTGTTTCCTGCTTTCTGTCACATTAGAAGCAGGTCAAAGAAGAGATGCTACAAACAAAGGCAATATTTGTCAGAGATTAGATCTCAATTTTTGTTCTTCTGAGATTTTTTTTTCAATGAGAGAACATACAACAGGTTGCATTTACATATAATACATGACACAGCATTGATCTGCCTATTTATTCTCCATACCTTATTTAGCAAAAATACTTTGTCTCTCTCAAGCACATCATTTTCTTTAGAACCAAAGCACAATTCTGATACAAAGGCCAACAAATTTCCATATATCAATGCTAATTCACTTGTCATAATTGGATAAGTCATCACATTAGGAAAACTACTTAGGTGGGTGGGTAATGCAACTCTTAAGCGTTTACAATAGTCAAAGATGAAACATATTAATTAATTAATGTTATTTGTTCCCCTTTTACACTCTGCTGTCACATCATAACACAGATCTTCCATCTGCCATGTCTCAGCCACACAAGTCTCCTCTTTCTTAAATAATTCTCTACAGTCTGCCTTGCTTTTACTAATGCTTACAATTCTCTTTGAGATTAAACTCTCTCTCCTCCCCCTTTATAATCAATGCCTTCCAATGATGCCTCTGGATTACCACTTTGTCCCTTATCAGTTCTGAAATTCACCCCAAGTACAAGGTTATTTGTCTACTCCTACTCTAATGTTCTCTTTTTTTCCCTATATTAACTTTCTCCTTTACAGTTTAGACAGTAAGCCCCTAATTTTTTAAAAATTCTGTTTCTGAATTTCTCATTCATAAAGTGAACACATAAATAATACAAAATAGTTTTGGGGTTTTATTTATAGCAGTTCCCCCCCTCTTTTTCCTTTTTTAAAATCTACATATTCCAGTTTATTTAGAATAAAGTTCTTTCCTTCTCCTTTTGTAGAGACAACAACACTTTTCATTCTAGTTTTTTAAGAAGGGCATTGATTCAGTTACACATGTAGAATCCCACTCAGTTACCTTGCTCATTTAAACCTGTCACAGCTTTTGAGTCCTGTTTCTAAGCACATTATTATTAGGATCCTGCATCCTCCATGAAAATGACATTCAGTGAGCTATCTCAGATACCAAACACCGCCTCCTGGAAGAATCTTTCAAAACATCTTATAAGTCACACAATGCAAAATACCTGAAATGAACAAGGGTAATTATGCTAACTGCTTGTCACTGTCAAAACGGGGCCTGAAAGCTTTGCAATTGCCTTGCCTTATTCTCTGCGAGAGTTTAAACAGTGGGGCAAACAATTTTATAGGGAGTGGGAATATGTAAGCTAAAAAGCTAATGTGTGTATTTCTGTGTGCATATATTACACATGTATACGACAGAGTTGTGCATTTAGTAGATAGCTATCGAAGTAATAAACAAAATAAGGTTCACAAAATCCAGTACGTTTTACATTCTAGCAATACATCAAAAGAAAGGGAGCATCTATGAAGATAAGGGAAAACTAACAGTATTATTCTGCGCTCAGTTCGTATTTTGCTTTTATTTATAACAGGAATTGATAATCTTTGGATAATTGGGGCCTATACTTCACATTTTGTGGGCCAAATGAATGGATGATAATATAGGTGAAATCAAGATTTCCTAATTTTTTTCTATTTTTTTTTAAAGGATGTTGCCTTTATTTTATAAATTATATTCAACCTCTTTTAGAGCATATACCGTACTTTGTTTTCTGGTTGTTTCCCACTTCAAATTGTTAAGAAACTATTTTTGGTTACTGTAGCTGGAAGTGATTCCAGAGGATTCCCAAGGGAAAAAAGAGTGGCCCTAGTATCTCAGGCCCTAGTATCTCAGGCTGCCTATATAGTTATCTAATTTACAACACAGAACTTGCTACTGTTCTATGCATGGTGCAGTGCTGCTCTATCTCTGGAACAGAAAATAGAAAAGTGATGGTCATCAAATGTGGTTGGCTGCCAGCTTTCACCTACCCTGGCCTACACCCCGGCCTCATCAGGAACAATGCAAGTTACAGTCCAACAACATCTAGACCACTATAGACACCCACTTTCAGCTAAGCTAAAGGAGACCCACCAAGTGGGATATTGCTGGTGGATTCTAAAAGACTGAGGAAGTCTTAGATTCACTGAAGCATCTCTAAGGGATCTCTAAGGCAAGATTATTTGTAAACAAGGATCTGAAGTATATAAAGATTTTAATGAATAATTAGAATAATTAATTCATATTCCAGGCTTCTGCATTATCTAATTTACAGTTCTCGCTCATTCATTCATTCATTCATTCACTCACTCACTCACTCACTCACTCACTCACTCACTCACTCACTCACTCATTCATTCCTCTTTACTGATTAAAACGAAGCCATGAAAATGCCCACAATACAATAGATTAGGTAAAGAATAATGATATACTGTAGGCATGCTTATCCATATATGTTTCACTATGTTTAATGTTTCTTCCAAGTAAACATGCACAGATTTCACCAAATGTGTATCATATTCATGCACCCTTATAAGTGTTATATCATCATAGCTGTGAATATGCTGTAATGAAGAAGTTCAGACAAAGAAAATTGTGTTATAGGTTACAAAATTCAGAGTCCTATAAATCTCACCTACCTATGTAAAAGAATACTGTGAAGGTTTTAGCCATCATGTTTGAAAAATATATGGAGACTGTTTGTTGAATCCCTGCAATTATAGGAATAAATGAATAAGATATCTAGTGGCTGCTTTTGGGTTCTAGATTCCTCTATGGAAGTTGCAAAGTATTGCCTCACTTGTGTAATATAACTTATTTTGACAAATTTTGTCCCTTTGATAGATAGGTCACTTCTTTCTTCATGAGTAATAAACTGAGGAAAGAAGGAATTTGATATTTTCCCTGTTAGAAGCAAAATATAGGTAAAAGAGTTTAATAAAATGGTAACAAACAACAGTGATGAGGCAAGGCAGAATAAAATAAAGAAACCAACACAGACAGATTGAGGTATAGCCAAAAACTTCTACACAAAAGCTTTTGACAGTCTGCCAACAGCCTCTTTCAGATTCTTTATATAGAGCCTTAATTGGAGGAGAATTTGAATTGCCTATAGACTATGGTTATTATTAGGATAATAATAATAGTAGAGGCAGTAGCAGTAGCAGCAATGTTGTCTACATTGCCTTTGATTTATCCAAATAAAAGCTTTCATTTTTTTGTGGAACAAAAAGTAGATAATCTTATTATATTCTCCCAGCATTTCTTTATATCATAAGATCCTATTGTTGAAAGAGCTGGCTCATTTATTAAAAATATATACACATTAGTTTTGAAAATGCTTCACAAATTTCCACAGTATTTCTTTTCAGCCTTAAGAATGTTCCTTCAAGTTTCAAAGCAACGGACCATACCAAAAGAAGAACTTTGATGCCAAGAGTCTAATATACCTTTTATCTTCCATTTTCCTCCATTATGAGCCAAACTAAAGAGAGAACAAAAGCTTAAAAATAATAGAATTTCCACCTTTTCTATTCTTAGGAGAGAATTGGAACAAACAAAACTCTTACATTGATTTTCAAAGAGTTCCTCCTTCCCCTTTCCTGGTTAATAGCAACTTTAGTACATCTAACAAAACAATATACATAAATGATTGTAGGAAACAAAATAGTAAATAATGCTTTTACCTGCTGCCGCTTCTCAAACTCCAGCTTGATGCGTGATTTGATGCAATTACAGGTATCCTGATATGTCTGCTGTAGAGCAAGTTCCATCAACTGTTTGTGATAGGCTCCAGCCAGATTCCCACAGATAAAAATGATGATGTTTGCCAGAATCTATCAGTACAATAAAACAGATCAAACTCTCACTCAGTTATCATTTACCATAAAGTCTATTCACTGTTATAGACTTTATTGGACCTTACTTCCTCTCCATTAGGTTTGCAAAACTGTATTTTGCATTTTAAAGTGTGAATATTAGGAATATCACATTTGTATCTGGGGAATAATTTATCTCACCCAAAGGTCAAAGCCTCCCTCTAACTCTGATGATTTGTTATTTGGATAGCAAACTATACTTATTAAAAATTGTATCTCTAAGAATTATTGAGGTAGTTCTAGAAATTGTTTCCATCTTCTCCCATTAATACCAAAAGAACATTCCAGAAGATAACATTGAGGAATATACAGGAATCCAGAAGAGCCTTCTCTGCTGTAGCGCTGGCCCTCTGGAACATCCTGCCCCCCAGGTTGAGGTTTGCCCTCACCCTCCTATCCTTCTGCAAGATCCTGAAGACCTGGCTCTGCCAGTTGACCTGGAAAAGCCTGATGGACTAACTAGCTGTCCCCACCTCCCCCCTGCGCTTCCTGCTCCCTCCCCTCATCTTTTTAATTTCATATTATTGAACTTCCATTAATTATTGTTATTGTTTTATTTCTTTACTATTTTTTACATTTTAATCATTTCCCCCCATTTTACTGTTGTAAGCTGCCCAGAGTAACCCCATAGCGAGATGGGAGGCAAATTAATTTAACAAACTAATAAAATGCAGAAAGCCATCTTGTAAAAGAATGATGATGTCTGGAGAATATGAAATCATGGTGATAATTATCAGCCATTTTCACAGTCCCATAAAGCAATGGCGGCTTGAATAGACTAGCCACAATACATGATCGTAACTCTAGATATAATGTTGGAAAAAAACATATTGAATAGTCTTTGTTAGATTCTCTTATATTTGATATTGGACTTAGTGATAATGGAAGAAAAACAAATTCTCTTTGATACATAGATAACTTACAGTAACATTTTACTTTTTTTAATTTGAACAAATAATACTGCATTAGCAATATATTGAAATTAACAGTGTAATTCAGAATAAACAAAAGGTAACAACCAGCAGGAATTTTATATCATCTATATTTTATCATTCTGTTTCCAATTAAAGAAAATTATAAGGTCATGGGACTGAACATATGATATCCCCATTAGATATCTTACTCCCATATGATGGGGAATTGTTGATGAACATTTATTTTGAGCGCAGTTTCTAGACAACCATAGATCTACCTAACAGACTTGACATGAAGCACATATTTAACTAGCTGGCTAAGCAAAATATTAAAGGGAACATCTTCAAGTCAAGATATATTATGTCCATTCCTTTTCTGTTCAAATATGTCCAATTCTCAGATCCTGCATGGAAAAGTCTCTGTAGATTTCTTGGCAAAGTTTTTCAGAAGTGGTTTGCCATTGCCTCCTTCCTAAGGCTAAGAAAAAGTAACTGGCTCAATATCATCCAGCTGGCTTTATGCATAAGGTGGAACTAGAACTCACAGTGTCCCATTTTCTAGGCTGATGCCTTAATCACTACATAAAACTGTTTTTTTTTAATTAGGTCCATAGCATTCTCATAATCTACTAATGGTTAAGGTTAGGACTGACTCCCTTGAGAATAACTGACCTCCTTGATAATCTAGGAAATTTGCCGCCGAATTTGATGTCCCCCCAAAAAACTGAATTCATCTGTCTCACTTGCCCTGAATATGGCAAAGATGACTTTTCTACCTCACAGAATACAGGTTTCAGAAACCTCTTTCTTGTCTCATGACCTATATATCAGAGGTTTCTACTGTTTCTTCAGCATTAAATCAGCTCACAGGAAATCATAGTTTTTTCCCCTCCACTGATTTCTTAATGCTGATAGCATTTTTCAGCTTCTTTATTTCTCAAACTGTATCTGCCTCACTATTTCTTCTTAATTCAAATCTTCAAATGAGCTGTCTTGTGTAGTCTACTCCTTGTGGTTTATTAGCATCCTCATTTGCTGTCTCTTTTTATTTAATCTCCCTGCAAAGCAGCTGTCAGCTGATTAATGACACAGTTGTAGGATGTAGCTTTCAACTCTTTCTTGACCATTTAACTGGTCCTTGGGCTCACAGTTTTACCTTTTTAGGACATTTTCTGACTGGCTGAAAATTTAAATTAAATCATTGTGTCCTCAATAGGTGTCACTCACTTGACTGATACTTGCTACCTTCTTATTGCTTCAGAAAAATCAAAACAAACATTAACAGTAAAAATGCTAGACAGGTTGAAATAACTGAAAAATCAAACACTGAAAAATCACAATCAGTATTCTAATGACTGTAGAGAAATTAACAGCCTGGTTATTTAACAACAATAACTATTATAATTATTAAAACTATATGTCATCATCTCCCAGTGATACTATTTCTACATAGCTTGAAATAAAATTATCGAGCACCCCCAAAATTATTTAGCATCTCTGAACTCATAGGGAAAACTGCTAGATGATAGCTAGATTGATGGAGGTGGTCTTTCAGATGTAGCTTATACCTTCCATTGTCCTAAGGCACTGCCATACAGAAACCTTCCATCTGGTTAGGCTGGTAACTGCTGGATCTTATAACATTCCTGTGAATGATTAGGACTCCCCTTTTATTAGGGTGAAGAGAGAAGATTGTTTCTTTAGCAAAAAATTCAGCAACGAGGTTGAGTGAAATTGTGCTAAGCATCTGTTGGCATTGTAATGCACAGGGTTCCCCCCCCCCATTTATCTGGCAAGTCACTTACTGTAGGTACTCATTCTGAAATTTAGTTTTGAATACATTTCCGTGTGAGTCATCTGATAAGGTACACAATACAAAGCAGCATGACATGTAGTTGAGGCTTTTAGGTTGGAAACCTATCTAAACTTATTTGGGAGTAAGTTCCATTTGACATAACAGGACCTGTTTCTGGGCAAATATTCTTCAGATTTCCTCTGCCTCTGTGCCTTCTTTTGAAGTTATAAGTTTTAGATTCTGTATCCAAAACAGACATCTTTGTACATCTAAGAACAAGAGGGGCTTGTTAATGTGCCTCCTACCAGTCATGAAATTGTGCAATCTTAAAATGCTATAGCAGATTTGAATATTTTAGCCCGGATAGGGGGGATCATATTTTAATGTTCCCCATCCCAATTCTTTATAGGAATGTATGTGTATAATGTGTCTCTCCTTCCTTTCCTCTCACATAACAAATTTCTAAATTTAGCATTTGGGATGCTACATTTCAATTAGGAAGGAAAAAGCAGTAAAACATGATAGCCAGCCAGCCACATGCGCGCGTACACACACACACACACACACACACACATACCTTGCCATTTTATACCTTGGAGACTATTCCACTGCCTTTAGGGAATCATATTAGTTTATTTCCATTACATTCTCCTGACTCCTTGGATAAGGCAAAAAGCCTGTTCAGGAAACTTTAAATTCTGCACAGAATAATACCGGAACTGATACTGTAATACAGGCATACTCACATGCAAAGATTTTTTTTTAAAAAAAGGAAACATGTGCCTGCAGCCCCTGACTATATTTAAAACTAGAGCAGAAATAGTGGACAAATATTTTAGGCAAAATGCTTTTCTCCAAGACATTTATTGACTAATTGATAGGATTTAAATGGCTGCACAAGTCAAACGTGATGTGGGTGACATAAAAAAAATCATAAATTACAAATGCAAAACATAAAGGAAAACAATACGTGGTATAAAAAAACCCAACTAAAACAATACAATAGCAAACAATAAACAATACTATTACTCAAGTAATAGAGACTTTTATTCATCCTGTCCCAAAGGCATGAAAAAGAACTAGATTTTCTCTGTGAATATATTATTCTTCAATGCATGAGTATTCTACAAATATGCATGAGTATTCTACAAATTTCTCAGATAATGAGAAATGGTTTTATTTTGTGATACTCTGCTTATAATTTGCATGGGGGAGAAATTCCAGAGAAGACTTTGCTGTTGTGCTTTGCTCGCAACAAAATTATACAGTCTCAGGAAATTTGTTATTCCTTATTCTTTCACTACCCCACATCATCCCCAACTCCAATTTGATAAAGCTTAAAAGATGCTTTCTAGTTTGTAGCACTAAGAACTATCTATCCAGAAGCATCCCAAGCCTGAAGCTAATCAATGAAAAGTCTGCACTCCAAAGTATGCTGCACACTAAGAGTGCTGGGCCAATGTAGACACTCCGGTTACAAGACAAGAGAGCGGCAGTATTTTTCCCACCATCTCACAACAGCTGCCTCCTCTGCTCTGGTTAATTTGGCACTCCCACAATTCTAGATTGAGGCAAGATAAATAATACATTTAGGCACATATCTACACACAGCATGAACTGAACTGTTGCTCATTTAACTCAACATGCATGTTGATGTTTGCTCAAGGAAAAAAAAACAATTTTGCCAAACAAAGCACTCAAACCACTCATATCCATTTTAAATTAGGATAATGAGCACAGACTAAAAGGAACTCTTGTGGCACACGGGGGGGGGGGGGCTGAGAAGGAAGACTAAACAAGAAATTGGTTTGGGAAGTGTTTGCATTAAAGCTAAGAAAAAAATAGTTATATTCTTGTTACAGATTACTTGTGAAAAAAATCATCCTCTCTCCCTCTCTCTTCGTGTGTGTGTTTGTGTGTCTGTGTGTGTGGTTGTGTGCGTGGTTATGGATAGGTGTGTATGAAAGAGAGAGAGATTGTCACAGAGGATAATTTCTTCACAATGAGAAAAATGTGAAAAACTAGTCCTTGAGACTGAGGTTATGGACATAAAAGAAGCACTCCTGCATGTTAAATATACAGCATCTTAATATTCCATAATACAATATAAAATTAGTGAATAGCAATTATTTACTATAATTAACGAACAGCAAATGAGAAGTAAATAATTGGGGACAATCCTGAAGTACTAAATTCAACTCATTTTTTGCTCTATTGATTTTAAGTACCAGCAATAAAGACAATGGTTG